GAGAATGCTCTCAATGTAGAAAACAGAGACAGTGCTTTTATCGGCGACTCTCCAATTCCTCCTCAAGGAAACTTTGCAGGCAAACATGAAGACATTCGTGATAGTGGCATTCACTTGAGAGACAATTCGCCTTCCATGCGTGTTAGAGCGCCCGTATCTTCAACAGATGCAGCTATCGATAGCATGGCATGGCCTTCTGTAGATGAAGATGCTGGGACAGTTGATCTTGAAAAGCCGCAACGACCAAAAGTTGTGGAAGATTTGACACGATATGGCCATAGAATTGATGATCTGCCATCTCAGAGACGCAAAGAAGAGGGGCACACAGATCTACATATAACGCAGGCAATTCACAGAGCACATTCACCTCATGAAGAAAAGCATAAACTTACTCGCAAGACTTCTTTAAGTCGTGGGGAACTAGCAGAAGCGAATCATGTAGACTTTGTCCGATCTCAACGACTTAAGGCATTTCAAACGAAATCCAAGGAAAAGTTATCTGAGCCTCTTCGAGCAGAAGCAATCAACAAACCAGTGACGCCAGAAAAAGAGCATAGAAGGCATCGTGTCCACCGTTCCGAATTTCCTGACCTCCAGTACCGCAAACCAAAGGAAAACAAATATGGGGACCTTGAACCAGTTAAAACTCCAAAAACTTCTAGAACTGAGCAGCGAAGTGTTTCCGAAAGTTCTCCATCTTTAATTGGAAGTGCAGCTCTTGCAGCAGCAGGATCGGGATTTGCAGCAGCAAGGAAGTTAAGTCAAGAAAGCCGTCCTTTAAGTGCTCAAAGTCACAAAAGTCAAAGATCCGCTTCAAATATCAGTGTTACTCGATTGCGAACACCGGTTCCATTAGATGCGCCTCAAGCGCCACAGTTCCCCGATAGCGCTAAGACCAATCGTTCGTTTACACCGCCACTTCGTCGTAGCGCCCGGAAAATTAGCGGGGATCCAAGATCACTCCGTCAACAAAGCAACATTGATCTCGCTAAGGAAATTGATCCAGCCTCCATCAATACCGCTACATCGACAACTTTAACAAATACTGCAAATCCAACTGCAAATGAGGGCCGAGCCAGGGCGCAAGATATGGCCGATGTCTACGTAAGTTTGCAGAAATCTGAAGATGAAAAATTTTCACCGCTAATAAAAAATGTAGGATGGCTATGGTGAAGGCCATATGGGCTCACCACGATCCCCAACTCGACCTCACAGTATGCGACGACGACAAAGTATGCAAGTCTTGGAGCTCGAATCAAAACTGGATCAACTAACTGCGGAAAATCGCGCGCTCGCCGAATCTAAAGCTCATGCCGAACATATGCTCCGATCAAGCCAAGGTGCACCTGCGGCCTTGGTAGAAAGGGATGCGCAAATCGATCTACTTAAACGAACACTGTCATCGATGCAAGATGAGGTCAAACGATTGACTGAAGTAAATGCGGGCCTTTCCAGTGCGGCCGTTACATTGGGTCAACAACATAATGCACGATATGGCACACTCGAATCACAACATGCACAAACTTCACGCGAACTCCAGCAGGCCCGCGAGGCTCATCACAACCTACAGAGCGAAGTACAAGGCGTCATACATAATGCTATACAAGAAAGGGACCAGGAAATTGCATCATTGCGATCTCAATTGGATGTGGCCAAGGAACAAATTCGGGCAATGCAAAGGGAAATTCTAGCTGCCAAAGCTGGTGACGCTCAATTCCTGATCATCCGAGACGAGGACTATTTCGATAATGCTTGTCAACAACTCTGCCAACATGTGCAGCAATGGGTATTGAGATTCTCGAAGTTCTCTGATATGAGAGCCTGTAGACTCACGAGTGAAATCAACAACGATAAAACCATTGATCGACTCGATAATGCCATTCTAGATGGCTCAGATGTGGACAGTTATCTTGCGGATAGAGTGAGGAGACGAGATGTCTTTATGTCAATGACGATGACAATGGTGTGGGAATTTATATTCACTCGCTACTTATTTGGCATGGATCGAGAACAAAGACAAAAGCTCAAGTCACTGGAGAAGGTATTGTCTGAAGTTGGACCACCATCAGCCGTTCATCAATGGCGTGCTACGACTTTGACCTTGTTATCCAAACGAGAGTCATTCGCCAGACAAAAAGAACAAGATACTTTAGCTGTGGTGCATGCTGTTTTGGAGACCCTAACAGAAATCTTACCTCCACCTAGTCACCTTGAAGGTCAAATCGAGGAACAACTCAAACGTGTTATAAAAGCTGCCGTTGATCTATCCATAGAGATGCGCACTCAACGCGCAGAATACATGATGCTACCACCACTTCAACCCGAATATGATGCCAATGGCGATCTCGCCAGCAAAGTCTCTTTCAATGCTGCACTCATGAATGAGCGCAGCGGAGATACCATTTCTAATGAGGAGCTCGAGGCACAAAGAGCTGTCGTCAGAGTTGTACTCTTTCCACTTGTGGTGAAGAAAGGTGATGATCTAGGACAAGGCGATGAGGAAATCGTGGTTTGCCCTGCTCAGGTTTTGGTTGCCAAACCCAGAATGGGCAAGGGGCCAGTAGGAAGGGTTTATAGTCCGGCGAGTGGAGCGGATATGGATAGGAGAAGTGATAGGAGCCGAACTCCTGCTAGTTTGCAGAGTAGTATGCCCGATACCAATGTGATTTGAAGAAAGAGAAAAAAAACACGAAAAACAAAACCAGAATGGCGGACGTAGAAATGAATGGAAAGGAATATGGGTTAGATGGGAGTGGTGATGAAATAATTGATACCCTTTGGGTTTAGCGGTGATGGTTGGATCATGTGTTTTAATGTTTTCTTTCCCTTTGTTTTTCTTTTTATCTTCGACGATTTCCCCGATTCATTTTAATGATGATTAATGATGCTATGCATTTAGCGAACTCATAGCTACGGCTATGGAGTGTTTCTTTCATATTTCAGGCAAAAAAGATATCCATATTTAACGACGATCACGACCAGATTGTAGTATTAGACGAGTTTAATTTACTCCGCTTACCTAGTTTATGATTTTAAATGCCAAAGTACTTCATTCTGATTCGGGTTTCGATCTTGATTGTCATTATTTTCGATTAAAGGTGAACTATAAATAATTGCAAAAGCAAACCTCGACAAACCCTTACTGCCGGCCAATCATTATTCTACGACGCTAGCTACCTTCTCTCATTCATGCATACATGTATATCAAAGTGGAAATCCCCCTATAGCTCAATAATCGAGTGATTTTGTATGGTTAGCTCCAACGGAGAATCTTACTTGAAATCGTGAAAACACACATTTGTCATGGTTTGTAGCTCCGGGATATGACGGTCCACCATCTTTTCGGCTTGATGGTAGATTCAGTTGCAAGTAGTTAGGCTATGTAATTGCACACTGTCTTTATCACCAAGCATTCAAGGGCTGCCCAACTCTCCTGTCCAGACTGTATCAATGGCTACCCAGAAACTCTTCCAAAGAAAGAGCTCACTTGTATCCTTTTTGAGCTTGAACGGCTCATACCTAACTGTCTTAGTCTGTGAAGTGCGACTTAACAGTGCGTCTGTGTGGACTAATCTCTTGCTGTCGTCACAGATATATATTGAGCTGCCAGGCCATAGCAATGGCTCTAATGGGTGGTGTGTCAGTACTTTCCTCTGAAGTGGGCGGCTCACAAGGAGCCACCAGTATCACCGTGTATGTTTTACTCGATATTGATGTTTTCAAACATACCTTGAACCTGTCAATGTCGAGATCTTCTTGCGTAATTTTATTACATAAGTGTGCGTTCCCTTGGAACTTTAATCATTTAGACTTTCTACTTTAGTTCTGTCATTGCGACATGTCAACTTACTCGTCAAAAGCTAAAGTAGTGGTGCCAATATTTTGCTCCCTCTAAGGTAACATATCCAATCAGAGCGATGAAAATAACCTTGACATGAGTCCCCCCATGTATTCCTATTGTCCCGGACAGGTTCAAATTTCAGTCAAGTAATGAATGATTTACTTCTACTTAATCTTTTCCCGCTTGACTTGAACAACGTGATCACGAACTCTGTTACTCTATTGTGGGAGTAATTGTAATGAATGGCAGGAGGGCCGCAGTCTCTATGACCAGAACTCTCCTGTGAATGACTACAAAGCAAGATTTGCAGGTGATAGAATAGACCTCATGATAACCTCGACGATTTAGATAGAATTGATGCTAAGTATTAACAAAACAAACCGGTATTCAAGACATTCTCACAAGCTACCGCCCAGCTACCAACATTCATCGAAGGAGTCCTCGACCGTCGCTCCCTACCCTCCCCCTCCTTCGCTGGCAACCCGAATGAGCAAAAAGTGCAAAAAGACATACAACAGTGGGGATTCGCTGGTGGTCACCCACCCAACTACTAATCCACCGATCTGAAGCTTGTGTATGGCAGAGCGGACGGGATGCCCAATTCTCTTCAGTCTATGGTCGTATGTGATAGAAGGGTTAAAAGTATGAATATATAAATATAATTGCACAAAATACCCATACAATCATCTTCCCTTTTTGTAAGCGAAATGGATTTCCGAATTTGAGTACTCCGACTTATTGATTAATTGGAATCATAAATAACAGTTCAAAAACATGAAACGAAATAGTAGCTACTATGTAATCTACATCTTCTAACATACCAGAATTATATAAAACTCAAAGATCACAATTGAATTGCAAGCACTCTCTGAAGATATTCAATTCTGCCTCATTTATTTCGCTTACGTGGACGCGCCTTAATACCACTTATAACGACTGGCCACATTGTCTAGATATCACTAGGAGTTTACAACAAATCCAATCTTCATATTCGATGAGAGTAAATCACGATTGCGAAATCACCATAGACTAGATCTGAATTCGATGTTTGCTTCACGGGCCAAAATCTTTCCTCACGTTATAATCTGCTGAAGATTGAAGCTAAGTTTTGTACAATTTGGAAGAAGCTGGATTTGAAAACTGCTTATTCATATAATTCATGCCCTTACAGAACCATTCTACTTCAAGTTTCAAAGATGAAAGCACCGATCGCTCAACACGTGTTTGGCTAGTGAACCTGAGCTTCGTTTACTAAACCAGTTCATACTATCGTCGAACTAGTAGAACTAGTTCAGCTCTAACTAAGTTAGTAAGTATCTAGTATGGTTATCTCCCATATATAATGTGTCTTCTCATACCATCCTTCTTCCCATCAAATTCAGAATTTATCTTCTCTCTGTTTTATCTTTCCACTTTTCATTCACGAGGCAGCGCCTCCCAATCTTCTCTAGACACATAAATAATTTGATATTCATCACCAATCAATACTCATCGGCATAATAAGAGAATCAACGATTTACGCCCTCTAATTGACTGTCAGAAGAAGAACATACAATTTACATGCAAAGATACTACACAAAACCTCATATTTTTCCCAAGTCGGTTTTACAAATATATCCCTTGCAACTATTTGCAAACAGAAGTGTCAGTACAGTCACACACTTGGTTACACACACTATTTGAAGCAGGCAAGTAATTCTTATCATAAAAGATCTTTAACAGAGTAGAGTGTTCGCCAAACATCTGACCAGAATCCCTATTAAATACAAAGCACCTGCTTGAATCTCCTCCATTACCCACAGAATAGTCCGCCCATCTCGTATTGCTCGAAAAGCCCGAAGGGAACATGAGCGACAGCAAGGTATATTAAAGAACAAACATGAGGCGCGGGGTGCTAGACAACTTTCAAGAGACTGTGGTATCAACGAACAAACTTCCCTTGATACACATGTTGTTGGTTGTGGCCAATCAACCATAAGTAGTCTCGTGGCACCAAAACCAATTCGCGACCACATGCGAAAAGGGTTCCTACAACCTGAAACCAAACGAGATCTGGAGGATAAATTTTTCAAAGGGGTCGTCATTATTGAGCCCAGAGAAACTGCACTCGCTAACGCCGCAAAAGAGTTTGAATCCTACTCGAATGAAGATAGATTAGTTCTGTGGACTGATGCTTCTCGCAACGAGCTTTCTGATCGTGGAATAGGTATTGCTTACCACTCCTCCAAGTATGTATGGGACGAACTTTCTTGGCGAATTCGAGGCCAAATCTCGACCCATCTTCTCGAGGTATATGCTATCGTGAGAGCTCTTGAGATAGCATGGGACATGTGCCGCAATCAAGGAGCTGAACGAATGCCGAGTAAGATCCTGATTTATAGCGACTGCTATGGTGCACTAAGACTATTTGATCAGTTTCGGAATTCACTGAAAGTATTGGAAAAGCTTACCTATGCAGAGCAAATGATTGTACCAGGGATCATTGCGTCCGAAGCTTTGAGCGTACTTGAGGTTGGGGTCGCGTTACGATATGTTCCTGGACATTCAGGAGTCGAAGGGAACGTAAAAGCCGACCGCGCTGCGAAGATTGGTCGGAAGCACTCTGTTGAAAAAGAGAAGTTCCTAATAGCAAAAGTAGTCGGAGCTCGAGTCCGACGAACAGCGTTCTAGAAAAGGAAGAATAGGGGGTCAGCGCGGCCGCTGAGTAGGATTGGTCCAGCAAGCTGAACGACTGCAATGGAGTACAGTAGATCAAATCACAAGCTCAAATCCAGTACAGGCCTCAGGGAGTCGAACCCCTTACCAAATGTACGTCCCATTTGACCGTCACGCTGTCACCTTGCGTGGAATAAGAACTCATGAAAAGACACCCCTACCTTTAAGCTAAGCAAAAACATGCTCAAAACCTGCTACGAGCACCATCAACGATTGACAAGAATCAATAAAATCGAGGGTAATACTTGGAGGAAGATGATATCTATAGAAACATAAACATCAGAAAGATGTATTGAAAGTTGAGCGACGTGAGTGGAAATGTGGTTTGAATGAGTTGATAAATGAGATGTAGAAGAGAAGAAAGATGAAGAAGAAAAGAAAGCATTTGGAACTTATTTATACCACTCCCAACGATCTAATTTAGTCGCATATTGATCAGGTGGGAGTAACTACTTCGCGCCACATTAGGAAAGAAGCTTACGACGATATTAGTGGCATAAACATACTAAGAAAGACCTTTTCGAAGAAATTTGGAGTTGTTCCACTTGAATGGATCGCGATGAGGATTTGTTTGTTCCGACCAAGTAAGGCAACCGTAATCTTTGGTTGTTGACTTGCAAGTTGTAAGTTAGAACTCAGTCCGTGCCGAGAAAATTCTCGGTTGGTGTTTCCTTTCCTGCTGGCTATAGCACAAGTAAACTTCTTGCCGTCTGCTACGGCTTCTGGTCGCGACTACTAGATTTCGTTTCAATAGAGCTTCGATAATGCCTAGGAACAAGAGCAGAAAGAGTACCAGCATGAGGACTGTGAGATTGGTGGTGGGAAGGATATCTGTTAGAACAAGAAGAACATTGGAGATGGGTTTAAATATCAAAAGCCAGAATCTGCGTGTATATAAAATTGCTGTTTATACATGATGTTTCCTCAGTGGCCTTACTTCTTTAGATGTTCGGATTATTTCCTACATCTAAATCGAGTAGTGACTTCCTTGCTCACACGGCTACCACGGAACACACAAGCTTGAGTGTCACTCTTTTCCGCTTTCCCGTTTCGATCAAAATTTGATTTCACATTCACAGAATAGAGGGGACATATGATGAGGCAGGGGAGATCAAACGATAAGACTGAAACAAGTGACAAACGATAGACATTGATGGTTTCCTTCCCAGACATTCAAAATGTATATGCAGGGCAGATGCGGAACAATAAACACCTGACGAAACTTGGAGGGTTGAAAACAAGATCACTAGCGAAATAGAAATGCAATTTCCTCTTAAGATAAAGGAAATGACGAACAACATCACAACACTTGTGTCTGTCTTGCCTGTCTTCGATGACTCTAGAACATCTGCAAAATCAGGAAAGAATACTTGATATTCAAAATAAACAAAACACAATCCTCGAGTAATCCACCTTGCAAACCTCTAAACCACTCTCCTGACCTTCCCACTCTCCACCTCATAAACCCACCCACTAACCCGCACCTTCTCAGGAATGACCTCCATCCCCCTCAACCACTTCACATCCCTCCTAACCTCCCCCTCCAAATCCGCAAACGGCAAAAACTCGCCCCCAAAAACATCCAGCTCCTTTTTCGCCCCCTCCCCAAACCTCTCCTTCACAAGCTTAACCGCGTCCTCATTCCCAAACGTAAGCATTCCACATCCCGTATGCTTAACCAGCAAAATCTCATCCGTCCCCAACAATTGCTGGGAAATAACAAGCGAGCGTAAGGCATCGCGTGCAGAACCTCCCGCGTTGCGGATTACATGGGCGTCGCCGAGGGCGATGCCAAAAGCTGCGGAGGGATCAATACGCGCATCCATATATGTTACTGGAGTATGTTAGAAAGAATCAGAAGTTGGAGAGAGGAGTTTTGGAAAGTGTTTATGTACCAACGGCATATTTCTTGGCGGGTGGAAGGGCGAGATCACCTTGTGTGAAATTTGCGGCGTAGATTTTGTTGGGTTCAATGAGGTTTCTTTGAATGGGTGTCTCGGAATGCGTAGTATGAGCAGTTGAAGCTGCTGCTGTGAACGGGATTTCAGCTGGCATGACTGTATAATTTATTTCTCCATCGTTTGCAAATGTGATAATGGCCTCAAATGTGCCGAGATAAGACCTAGCTATGTACCGTTGAGGTTATTGAACGGCTAGCAAATGGCTGGTTCGTCCATCTTTATACAGGATTCTAATCCAATGAACAAATCAAGAGTGGACAATTGAGAACGGTGTATCTCCAGCTATCTCGACTAAATCCCGTTGATTCTTCTTTTCAAAGACCGGAAGAGGATGCTGCAATCTGCAGTACCAATGGAGATGCTCAGCCCAGATATTCCATCATATTCCATCTATATCACACCATACATATTCCATCAAAGTGGCCGATGGCAGGAACATTCGCCCAAGAAAGGAGTCACCCTTGTATTGACATGTAGGAAACCTTGTGGGATCCAGATTGATAGCAGTAGGTAGGTAACTATTTATACTATTTATGCAATATTTATGTTAAGGTTACCATTCCTATTTATGCATTACCCCACACCCATTCAATGACTTCATGTCTCAACCTCGGCTTGTCATCATGTACTAAAATACCTACTTGATAGGTATTATCAAAGAGTATGAATGAAACTTCAAAAGATTCGAGATTATCTCCAGAAAACTCAATTCAGATTGAGGATAATGAGGTAGCAGAACTTCAACAAAGCATTTTAGAAGCACAATACTTCGATGCGAGTAGCATGGCTCCGCTTTCCGCAGCTTCAAGAGTAAGTACCTCTCCACATGTCATTCAACATCCAGTAGACACTTTAGCGTAACACCCAACTCTCAATCCGCCTAACACAATATCTAAAAGGGAGCACTCGCACGACTCCGTGCCTACAAACCACCACCCTTCGACACAGTATGGAATCTCCTCCCCCTGAGTCGCCGAGCCGCCGTCCTCGTGCTCCTCTTTGCGGACCGACGAGGAGACCTCCGAGTCGTCATCACCATGCGCTCGACCACCCTCCGAAACTTTTCCGGCCAAGCTGCGTTTCCCGGCGGAAAAGCCGATGCGCTTTCCGAGACGCCGTTTGAGATTGCTCGACGAGAAGCTAGTGAGGAAATCGGCCTGCCGAGATATGATCACAAGATCCCCGCTCCGTTCAGAATAGAACATCTATGTCAGCTTCCATTTAGTTTAGCTAGAACTGCATTAGCTGTACGACCCTGCGTTGCATTTCTCCACGCCGATAATGCAACGATTGGGAGAGAAGCTAGTGTAGAAGAGGATTTGATGCCGCGGCTCGATGCCCGAGAAGTGGCGGCCGTGTTTTCTGCTCCTTTTCATAATTTTTTGCGAATGGAGGATGAAGTGAGGAAAGAAGATGAATCTTTATTACCAGGGAAGAAAAGTGATTGGTATAGTGGTGCTTGGCATGAATGGCACGATACTAAGTGGCGAATGCATAATTTCTATGTTCCGATTACCAACCAGAAGGTATCGAGGCCGAAGGTCAAAGAGGGCGGACAGGCTGCTATTGCTGAGGAGCTTGAGGAACAGGAAGAACAGGGCTTGACACGCTTTAAAGTATGGGGGATGACAGCGAGGATGTTGGTTGGTGAGTTGAGAATTTTGAGTACTATAGAGGACATCACTAACTGATTATATGTAGATGCGGCTAGGATTGCATACGAGCAAGAGCCAGAATTCGAGGTGGGTTCCCGCTTATGCATGCTATTACTTGAAACTAATACACCATGTAGCACAACGCCCATGTTGGGGATGAAGAGCTCATTGCTAAATTACAAAGCACGGGTCATCTTGAAGAGAAAAGGAATGTGTCAGCCGCAGAAATCGTTGATGCCAGGAATAAAATCAAAGAAGAGAAATCCGGAGCAAAGATGTAGAGGACAGATAATTAAAATTGTTTAATAATTTATTTATTCTTTAATTCTGGGTCATCGACCTTTACCGCTAGGTCCTTTAGGAACATCTTGACTTCGATCTTGGTTTCGTACTAGAAGCTTGATTTTACCACCACCGATCTCATGACCTTGACTCAAGATATCAACTTCTTCCTTCGAACCATCTGCGCCATTGCTTTCCCTAGACAAAGTCTTGTCATAAGATCGAGCGTCAATGCCCAAAATACCACCCACGTTGTTTCTATCACCAGGGACTGAAAATTCGCGGTATGCGTATCTCCATTCGTTCAAGAATGTACGAATGGCTTTGCCAACCTTATCTTTGCCGTTTTTGCTATGATGACCTGTACCTGTGATAGCGTAAACGGGTCTTGATTCTTTGCTGTTGTCTAGAAGGACGCGCTCAAGGTATTCAACAGCCTCTTCGGGATGAAGGCCATGCAAATCAACGTAAAGCTCGGCGTTTGGGGAGTTGCTTTTGTTACGTTCTTCGTAAAGCTCACGAGCTGCTTCTCGGTGTGCTTTCCTCATGAGATCGTTCTCACTTTGACCACGAAGGCTAAGTGCTTTTGCAGCACGTGCATCATTACGGTTCCAAGCTTGAGCGGCACTAAGTTGTTTTAATAAAAATGTATTGTGTAGTGTGGTTCACTGACTAACCTTTGTAAGAATTTGTTCCTCAAACCACCATGCTTGATTGCATCTTGTCTGGCTTTGAGGTATGCTTTATTGGCTCTTTCTCCTGTTTCTAACCACGGAATGTGTTGAGGGGGTGATATAGCTTGTGCAGCAGCGCTGTTCTCGCCATTGCGAACGTTATTGGAGCTACCGTTTCTGCCAATCTTTTTCTTTTCTTGCATCATACCAGGGCCTGGTAAAGGGGATAGCTTTACTACATCGGCAAGGGAGCTGGGGCTGTTGTTTTCTTTGTGGTTGTGCCCATGACCACCTCGTTTCCCGTGATGCTTTTTGCCCTTTGTACTCACAGCGCCCAACGATGGAAATGCTTCTGTGTCATCAAGAGCTGGAGCTGCGGGAGCATCTCTAGCTCGACTACTTGGCCGAGATCGCTGGCTTCCATCACTGTTATAACCTTGCAGACTTTTGAAACCGGGCGGTGGAGTGAAGCCGCCTTGTTGATAGTTGCTGAATGCATTTGTTGACGAATAAGAGTTTGGCCACTGCTCTTGCATTGATTGTAAAGACGGGAATGCATTGTAATCTTGGAACTGGAAACTAGGTTGTGCATTTGAAGTTGGGGGCGTGCTACCTCCTTCGAGAGAGAGTCGGCTCATAAACGATGAGGGATCGTGACTAAAGATACATGTATCTCCCGCAAGGCAATTGCCCATGACCCAATACCTGCATAAAAATGAGGGGTGTAAATCTATAGGAGTAGGATAAAACTTACTTGCAAATGTGATTACTTAAATCATGGCTAAATCTACAATCCGCACGAAGACATTGTCCAGTAGACAACCAAAATCGACAGACAACACCACTTCGTTGTTGCCCAGCCGGAGTATTCGGTCGAGGTACGTCCGCTGCCATTGACTTACCAATTAAAATGGCTTTGGTACCATCTCCATCTGCTTGTACTGCAGCTTCGGCAGATTGACTATCCATGAAAGCAGCAATAGTAGCGCTCAAGTCGTATCCGTGTAAAGCAAGTGCAGCTTCGATTTCTTCAACTGATTTCGAGGGGCCAAAAATTGACCGTAACATTTCATGAGAGCTCATGTCGCTTTGTTGGGGCGAAATGTATTCAGCAGCTGCAGCGTTGAGGCCACTTCCGCCGACGGACGATGATGTGATACTAACGGCATCATCATTCACAAGCCAGTCTACATTTTCACTTCCATAATCTCCATATATGTCTTGCGTAGGGCTGGTATCAGTCGGAAACTCGTACGCGTTCAGATTTGGACTATGAGGGATCGCAGGGCTGGAAAATGCGAGGCGTGGGGAGGGTCGCGGTGAGGTAAAAGGGGAACCCTGGATAGACTTTGTTCGAGAAAATGATTGCGGCATAAATCCATGAGGAGCAAGGGGACTGACTCCAAGACGAGGGGATGAAGATAATGGTGTTCCACCACGTGGAATCTGCCATGGAGCAGGGGATGGGCGACGCAAGACTGTATGTCGCATTGCGGGTGGTGAGTTAGCGGCATTCGCAGCGCTCTCGCGATATCGCCATAATACATCCAACACAGCATTCTCCAAAACTGTTCCTGTCATTGTAGTTTCATTCTTTAGTAAGTCCTCCAATTTATCCGTCTTGTCTTCGTCCTCTAGGGTAGCATCTTCGAGGATAGGCAGGCAGATCTCGTAAGTATCGTCGGCCACCATCTTGCCAAGGGTCTTTGAGTAATGATCGGATTAGATTATTGTATGGCTTTCAGGAAGGTTGTATTTCACAGGAAGTAGAGGTGAGAAATGAAAGTGTAGAAAGTTTATAAAAAAGAAAGATGTTGAGGGGGGGGGGGGGGGTGTTTAAGAAATGTAAGGTAGGTGAGACCGGAGTTCGCGATTGATGATTCGATCAGGGAAAGACACCTCGAAAGATGTACGCAGTAAGGCAAGACAATACGGTGATCCGTAGCAAGGCTCGACACAACAAAGGCACCAGGCTCTTACATTGTCAGATGAATGATGGGAGAGAATATACTTTTCTTTTTCCGAGCGAACATGGATTTACTTTAAGAAAAGGAAGCAAAGAGAAAGAAAGGGGATTTATTTCCAAATTGTGTTTTTCGACAGGTAGATTCGTGGGGTTTTGGAATATCGGACAGCACCTCTAGCTCTCCATAAGATGATGAGGCTGGCCTATCGGGGTCAGGGTTTCCTTTAGTTTCTAGAAGAAATGGAAGTTCATTGGTTGGAATGCTGGGTCGATCCGATTTGTACAGCAAGAAGTCAGCCAAGCAAAATATAGTCCGTAGTAATGATATATTCTAACACCAGGAGAGGATAGGGGAGAGGTAGAATGAATGTATTGGATATATACGTTGATGTGCTGACTAGACAGACAGGACAGCCATGCAAGCGGTGAGGTGAGAAAAAAGCATACCTAGTATGTGTAGCAGCTGCAGAAGTAGGAGCATGAAGGAGTATTATCACTCAAGTATACGAAGGACAATGGAGGAGAGTACAACACAATACTACTTGATCATATTGATTGATTTTGATAGGTATCAATTTAACTTTTTGCTTACTTATACGATTTGAGGATATACATACATATATGTATATACACATCGAGCTCAAGGCTTTTTTCCGACTATGAACTACTTACTACTTATTACTGTACAAGGGGTGTACCTGAAAAGCCCCTGTTGTAAGTTGTAACACTTCTTTCCACGAGATCTCACTAGCTTTGTACCTAGACTTATGATTATAATTATCATATAATAAACATAATAATGTCACCTTCGCGATGATGAATACCTAGTATCTCCTTTCAGCTTCAAACGATTTGACTCGGTCCCCCAGAGAACTTACTACCTACATACCTACTAGGTAACCCCTTTTCACAATTTGCTGCTCTGCCAAATCGATCATCATGTGATTGATCTCCACGACCCCTCATAAAAGCTTGAGTACTAGTTAGGTAGGTACCTACTACCTAGGTATTCATCAATTGTAGGGATTGATATTCAGAGACAAAAGTGACGTAGAAGCAAGAGTGCGGCGTCGCGTTGGAGATAACACTTCCAGTTTAGGTATACGAGCATTTGAGGATGAGATACAGAAGATGCATACCTACCTATATACACATACATATACCACTTATTAATTCTCCTAGGTGATTCTTCAAAATCAACACCTTTCTCACCAATATGTTGGTATGATTGTGGGATGTTCATTTTCATTTTCATTTTGTTATACTTTCATTCAATCCATCTTTTACTTTCCTAAAATACGAGCTACGCTATTAGTGAGCATCGCATCTCCGTTCTCCGCCGTTTCAAAAAATCCATCAGCACAGCCCTCGAGACCCTACATGCCGGGCAGAAACCATCTATCAAACAACGTCTTCACTTGGACGATATTATCAATGCATCTTGCGACGATACTTTAGCTCTTTTCATCGCCTAACTTTCGATCTGTGAGCCACAGAAGCCGAATTATCAACCAACTATCTATCATTTCGGTGTTCATATTATAAGCACAAATCGAACAACCTCCACAATGCCGGCCGATTACAGCTCGACCGCGAGAGCTTTGGCTTTACCCATAAGTCCTCTCGAGTCTCCTTCCTCTCCAGATCAACACGCAGAAAGGCCACCATGGTCCAGACGTATATCTTCCAATGTGCGAAGAGGAAACAATTCAGCCTCGCCATATTCAAGCCAACCTACCAATTCCCTCAAAGACCAAATTCTCCGCAAGGCCGAAAAATTACAACGAAAGCTCGTTTCAACATGGCAAAAGCTTTCTCTTCTTCAAAAATGCCTGGCCATTATGGCTGCGATTCTTAATATTATTCTCGTCGTTCTATTTCTAGTCTATCAACATCAAATCTTCGCCAGTCTTGCTCCATTCGCAGAACGCTGGCGGGATATGCGGGGAGGCTGGATGATTCTGTGGGCCATGACATTCGTCGCCGCATTCCCACCTCTCATCGGCTATTCCTCCACCATCACCATTGCCGGATTTGTCTTCGGAGTCCCCAAGGGCTGGATCATTGTGGCGACCGCAACAATAGCAGGTTCTCTCTGTTCATTCCTAGCTTCCCGAACCATTCTCTCTAGCTATGTACATCGTCTCGTGGGAAAAGATAAACGCTTTGAAGCTCTTGCTCTCACTCTCAAACACGACGGCATCAAGATTCTCTGCATGATCCGTCTCTGCCCCCTCCCATACTCCCTCTCCAACGCCGCCATCGCCACTTTCCCCACTGTGCATCCCCTCAACTATGCCCTCGCTACGGGCTTGGTAACTCCCAAACTCCTCATCCACGTTTTCATTGGCAGTCGTCTGGGCTCGCTCGCCGGCGACGAAGAAATGGATACCTCCACCAAACTAATAAACTACGCCAGTATAATCATCGGAGCTGGACTCGGTGCCACCGTCGGCTATATAATCTACCAGCGCACCATGGCGCGCGCCAAAGAACTCGAGATCGAGGAGCTTGAAGCTGCAAATGGGGATGTGGCTGCCGGTAGAAGAGTCGTCGCAGAATACAGCGATGCTAACAATGATGATGCGGCATTGATGAATGATGATGATATATCTTTATGGGACAACGATGCACAGACGGGATACACGGATTTTGTAGATGAGGATGAGGGTCATGTTTTTGCAAATGGAGATTTAGATGAGGAAGCGGATATTGGAAAGACAACGAGAACTTAGATTTCGATGGGGTTTTGATATGTAATTCATGATGAGGCATGTTGTATGAAACATATACTGGATACATACTGGGTTTGATTGGGTCTGATTGTGTCACCACAATTTGGCGTTCGGAAGAAGGAAATGATTAAAGGGGATATGGTTTATGCATTTCTTCTTTACGTTAGAAGACGATAAAGATATCTAGTCAGAAGTTAAAAGAGTATAACGACCTTTGACACCATCAACATCTGAAGATGCAATGAAAACATTTGCTCGTTCTGTAGCATCTTTGTATTATTTGATTTGAACATTTTAATTCGTGGTATTTCATGACGCTTGTTCACTATGAACTTAACCTAATGTGTGCCTGTCTCGGCCAAAAGTATCCGAGTTGTGCAGAAAACAGAATGATATTCCTACAAAAGAACGCCATTTACACTCACTCCAGATGCACCGCTAAAACGCCATCGCTAAAACCAGATCTCAAAACCATTCGCTGTCAATAATTCGTCGTCAAATCGTATATTCATTCATTTTGTGCCTGATACTGTTTCATGAAAGCCACTGCCTGTTCGATCGGATATCCTATGAATACGGGCCCTGTAAAAACCATCTTTGGCCCATTACCCTGCATCTGGAGTTGTTCTGGTTGAATGAAGGCCGGTTGGTTGTGTAATATGGGAGGCGCAACATAGTTTGTAGAGGGGGACTCTTCTTTTTGTACCTTTTGGCCTTGGCTGAAAGGACAACCTGCTGGTCTTTGCGCATCAACTGGAGTTGCTGGTAATTCTTGTGTTGATTTTGGTTGCGCATTCGATCCTGCAGTATGCCCAAACGGACACTTCCCAGGAGGTTTCGAATAATTGTCCAGAGGAACCGATACAGGCGCTGGTGGTGGGGATACAGGTCTATGGTATGGTGGCTGATCGTAGATTGGAACAGAGATTCCCCATGGTCTGCTTGGGGATTCCCCAACCCTAACTTCCTTCATTGGCCTATCAAAGCGACTTTCTCTGTCGTCTGCGGGAGAAGATTGAGATCCAGGCAGCGAATCATTCCCATCAACACTGACATTATTTGCCCAATTCTCCACTCTCTCATTAGAGGCGCGCTCAACCTCATATGCTTCTTGCTCTTCCTTCGTAGGTAACATTGGCTGATGTTTTTGTCCCAGGCCCTGAATCATGCTCACAAGGTTTCCATATTTCGCATCTAGCATCCTCACATCATCCTCATTTCGTTGATATCGCTTGACGCAAACTTCATGACTGCGGGGAACTTCGTGTTTGTGAATTTCAAAGTATCGTGCAATCTCTTCAGGTGAATGCTGATTGAGATATCGAATTGGACATTGAGCTCCAGGGCCTGATGCTGATGGGGGCGGGGACGACATCGTCTCGGCGTACATTTGCGCACATATAGGATCTGAGGAGTGGTGGGGAGTGGGGTCTTGGTTATCGATAGGAGTCAAAGGTTGATCGGATTCACCAGTGCTGGTATCCTGAGCATTTGGGTTCTTCATGGATTTCGTTCCGTCAGGCATAGTTACAAATGGACACAATAATGAACTCTTCTTTCCAGGCACAGTGAAATCTTGTTCGAGAACAGTTGAAAGGGAGGTTCGATGTGCTGAAAATCTCATATTACTACTCCCACCGGATATACTTTTACTAGTTGTAGATCCGGCAGACTTTCCAGATAAAGCCGCAAGACGCTGCGCTGCCTTTCTCCCGTCCCTTATTGCAACGGCAGTCTGCTGCTTCGAGGTTGGTTGCTTACGAAGTGGCAAAGGAACAAACCCACCACGATCAGGAACAGTTACTTGTAAATCTGGAGGAAGTTGAAGCTTTGCCAGTGTACTAGCTATCTCAGGGTCTGAGGGGGCATATTTATCTGCCAAAGATTGATACTATGAAGGTATATGTTAGTCTTGGTTGCGCAAAACTAATTCAAAAATTATAAAATGACGTCGAGAGTCAAAAGATTCAGACAATTTGTAGTTTATCGGCATTGCTACTTTGCAACAAGTAACTTTGTTCTAGAGCTATTTGTGTACATCATTAAAAAGACATGAGGGGGTGTGATTGTGAAGAAAACATTCAAACTTACTTGAGAATGCGAATACCGCAGTTTGTGTTCTAGAATTGTTTTTCTATCACTTAGAAGTTGAACTTCATCTGCTAAAATATTAAAGTTGTTAATTAAGGTATTGGTAAGTTCCTCATAATCAAGGTCTTGCAATGGCATGATGTACAGAAAGAAGGAGACAATGAAAAAGAAATGATAAAGTTCATGAAAAAATGTGTAGTTATGGAAAGATGGGAAGATGGAAAGATGAAAAGATGGAAGGTGGAAGGTGGAATGAAGATTGGAAAGCAAGAAAAGGGCCTCGCGAAGCTAAAATTTGCTTGAGCTTAGCTTCGATCTAAGTGATGAAAGTCTCCATATAATGACTAATAAGGGGTCTTAAGTAATTAATTATGTAATGCATCAAATAAGCACGTGATGAGATATCCTCCATTATTGTTGACTGCAAGATGCCGATACCGATATCGATGTCTTATCTATTTAGACGAATGGGATCTATAACTTGAGCTATTCCTAGATATCTACCTGGATAGACTTCCAAGTAGAGAGGTAGGTATTTCTTCCTCATAGAATCGTGGTCTGGTATGATTGAATCATATCCATCTACAATAAGTGCTCGGTAGGTACATGATTCTCTCTGATGCTTCAGCCGATATCATGGCGCGCTATAGATCTAGTCGATTGGATAGCTATTGGTGATATATTGACCAACTGTTAGATACCAGGTATCCAGTAGATATACCCAACAAAGAAGAGCGTCTTCATGTGTTCAACACCTGCAAAGCCTCGAGTCCGAAACTTTACTCGGCGGTAGATATCCTGATTGGGTAGGATCTTGTACCACTAGCTTTTATATGTGACTTCTCATTCGTAAGAACCCATAGATCCATTTTCCCGAGCGTCTAGGATTTTGATTTGTACCTGAAATGGAGATCCTTCAATTTGCCGTTTCTGGGTACTTAGGTAGGAAGTATTTGATCCTTTCATCTTGATTAGACAAAAGGTTTAGGGGATACATACAGTAAACATAGCATTGATACATGGATACATAGGTAGATACATAGAGATATCAGGCAATAGAATATACGTCTACCTCCTTATTTACGAGGAATAACATCTTCGACTTCACAAGATATCAACTTCTCTCTCGCCCCCTCATCCTTCCCATTTTATTTGTGTGTATAAATCTCAGAAATAAAAGTTCTTCTACCCCAATCCCTACTTGTGCTATTATTGGCAGCTGGACCCCCTCGATTGTTGATGCGACGTCGATCATCACTGATCCCCAGGCAATCTTTCGTTGCTTACAACTTTGATTTCATTGCACCCTCAATTAGCTGTGAAGGCGCTTGAATTCAATAACATTCACTCAGAAAGAGAAGATAGCCTTGATAGCCTTGGAGGCTTAGCTACAACCATGTTTCAAGCGAACTTTCCTATCACATTAATCTTACATTAAGCATTAAGCTTTAAGCTCAATTAATATTCCTGTCGAGATCCACGAACCCGTATTCGCGCATGCGAATCTGCGAGCCAGATACACTCTTGGATTCTTTTCCATTGCAGTAATTCTAATACAGCGCAAATGAATTTACGACAATAGACTTCAATTACAAAAAATGTCGAATAGAAGCGCGTCGATAAGTTCAATCCCTTCGGTCGGATCTGAGGAACAATTGTCAGAAACATACAAGATGGAGAAGAGCGCATTTGAAAGGCTACCTGAAGATATCATTCTACAGTGAGCGCATGAACTAAAAATGTTATGTCAAACATCTAATCGTATTTTGTAGAATCCTTCTTCTTACCAATGCCAATACCTTTGCCTCCCTCGTTCTACTGAATTCAAGATGGAGGGGCATCTCGCAACAAGCCTACCTTTACTCGCACCAACTCACCCAATGTCCTTCCTACTCGGCCGCACATAAAACAAATCCTGCTTTAGAGGATAAGGACAGTCTTCTACGTCTGCGAGGTCTATTCGCCCAAGAGGTCAGGCGTAATTTATTTGAAGCATATTTACGACCTCAAGAGACAGTCATCAATCTAGTTTCGACATCGATAGGCTCATCCAGTGCGCCCGGAGGTGAGGCCTGCCATTTCTCCATCTCTCCTCGTGGAGTTCTGGTTCTAGCCTATAATTCATCTCGAATTCACATAATAGATGTTACGGCCCCGGAGGTTCACATCATACGAGAACTTAAGATCTTGCGACGACCCGCAGCGACAACAATTACAGATGATGGATCTCTACTTGCTGTATTGTCGACCGATCTTCAGGTCAACCTTTACGACCTGACTGTGCGTCCGCCAAAGCATACAAGGTCTGTAACACTAGATCATACACCAAGGACCATCGCTCTTTCACCAACCGGACAAGTCCTTGCCGCGGCTTATGAGTAAGTGCATTGCATCTGATAACTTTTCCTAAACCATCCTTTCTACTTTGTTCCTTGTAGCCAATTTTTCTTCTTCTGAGTATATCGGAAATTTTTGTCCATATCTTTCGTTATTACCCTGCTCCTTACTTGTCGAAGTGCTGCTAACCCGCCGCTCATAGCTCTGGAGTAGAATTGACTTCTCTGCGTGAGATCGGTACAAGTCGCGCTGTAAAAGCCTATGGGGTTGACTCTCTGACTTTTTCTCGTGATTCTGACTTACTTTTGGGCACCACATTACAGTCTAGAAGCCCTAGTACCGTCGTCTTGACCGCGCCATATTATGATCCTGGGAGCGTCTCCCCTGAAGATAGCATAAGTGCTCTTTGGACAACTTCAATACTCTTCCCCACTGGTAGCCGAGACTGTAGTCATGCAGTTCTATTACCCAGTCTAGATGATGACGAAGCAAGCTGGACGTTTACATATGATCGAGTTTTTGAAACTTTTCGGGCAGTAAGGATGGATGATTTACGCAATGGTAAAGTTCAT